GTCCATAAGTAATATCCTTTTAAATTTGTCATTAACATTTAACACTCAAAGTGAAAATTAATGAAACAAAAATATATGGCATGCTTAAAAATATCTTATAAACCAGTAATTTATAAATACTTTCAAACAATTTTAGTAAGAAATATTTAAACTGCTATAAAACCTGAGGTAGGATATGAGAGATATAGAAAAGGTGACCTTCCTTTTTCTCCCTTACTCCAACCAGAAACAAAGCATATCACTCAATATTAGTTGAATTATTTTAAAGAATAACTATAACTGTATTTGAATTGCACCTTAAAATTTACAATTATAAAACAAAAGGGTAGATTTCTTCTCTGCATTATCGTTTGTGAAATCATTAACAATGCTAGAAAAGTGTTATGAATAATGAGATGGGGATAGAGATCATTCTAACTATAACCAAAATCAATTCAATCTTTCATAATCATAGGTCAATGGAAAAGTAATTTAAGATATACCTGTTTTGCTAATAAAATCAGCTAATATAATTCTGGGGATACTAAAGGAATCAAATGTGTATTTGATTTCTGTGAAGAGTTCCAGTGTTGTCAAATATAGCATTCAGCAACAATGAAAATATTCTATATCTATATCCATGAGTCACATGTAGCTATTAAACACTTGAAATGTGGCGAATATGACTGAGGAGTTTAAAATTCAAATTCATTTAAAATTTAAAAAATGCATAAGGCTAGAACTGAATGGCACTACAAGATGCATGAGTAATTAAAACAACTGAGAGCTACCAGAATAACATAATACACACGCTGCCCCTTCCTCCAATTTCAAGAAATAAATCAAATAAAGCAGATAGCTTCAACTTACTAAGTTTCAACTCTGAACTGCAAATTCTCCTTGTCCCACACCATAATTCACTTCCTTAAGCAGCTATTGATATTACATTCTATCTAGCTTGGTCTCTCTTAGGCAGGAGTAGAAAACTATCCTCTTATCCTTGGTTTTTCTTTTTCCTCTAGAAGACTTCAGGTACACGCAAAAGAATTAATCATAAATTCTGATTCATGACATACCATCACCACTGGTATATACTCTTTTAATGTACCTATAAATAATGATGTACTATGAACTCAACTCAAGAACATTTCCAATCACTTATACTTCCAATGTGCTCCCTTCCCTTATCTCATCTTCCTGTTTCACTCTTAAGATAATGACTATCAGAAATTTTATGATCTCCTTGCATAAAAATATGTCTAAGCTATAGACTATTCATAGTTTTGATTTTCCACTTTCTAGAAAGGTAGCATAGTTGATGTAGTCTTCTGAGACTTGCTTTTTCACTTAACATGATGCCACTAACTATAATCCAGGTTGTTGCATGTAGCTGTATTGTATTCATTTTCACTGCTGTATAACAGTCCATTGTGTGTCTATAATATAACTCACTTATTCATTTTTCTGTAGACAAGTTAATTCCAATTTTGATGGTACACTGAGCATTTCTGTGTATGTGTCCTGATGCATATATGCCAGATTCTCTTGGGTATACACTTGAAGTGGAACTGCTGGGTCACTGAATATATGAATGTTCAACTTCACGAGATAATGCTTTTAATAAGGTAATTTTATGAGATAATTGTTTTCAAAGTGGTTGTAATACTTTCTCAATTAACAATATTAAGAGATACTATTATATTTGATCCATCCCTTTTCTATAATTTGTTATTGCCTGACTTCTCAATTTTTGTCACTCAAATGCTACAAAATGTGGTCTTGATTTGTATTTCTCATATTACTAATGAAGTTGAACACACTACAGGCCATATGTGCTATTTTCTCTATGAACTTCCTATTCATGAATTTTTCCTGTTTTCCTACTGGGACTCGACTTAACGATGGTTTGTAGGAAAGGAGATTTTTTTTTTTGAGATGGAGTCTCACTGCAACCTCAAACTCCTGGGCTCAAGTGATCCTCCTGCATCAGCCTCCTAAGTAGCTGAGACTAAAGATGCGTACCACCACCATGTCCGGCTAATTTTTTTATTTGTTGTAGAGACAGGGTCTCACTCTTGCTCAGGCTGGGCTCGAATTCCTGAGCTAAAGCGATCTTCCCGCCTCAGCCTCCCAGAGTGCTAGGATTACAGGCATGAGCCACCACACCCGGCCGAGAGTAGTTCTTCATTAATATTCTCAATATTAATTTGTTGGTTATATGTGTGTCTAATATCTTTTCCCAGTTTGTCACTTGTGTTTTCACTTTCTTTAAGATGTCTTTTGATTTATAAACATTTATCTATCTTTTAAGGTTAATTATTTTTGAAAGTTGTTTAAGAAATCCTTCTCTACATAAAGGTCAAGAATACATTCACCTATATTTTCTTCCAAAAGTTTTAAAGTTTTCCTTTAATACACATGGAGTTGACATTTGAGTTGAAGTAGGAATCAACTTTTAAAAAAATTTCCTTATGGATAGCCAGTAGATCCAACCCCATTTACTAAAAAGTCTATCTTTTCTCCCCATAAAAAGAAGTTGCAGTGCCACTTCAGTTTTATAGCAAGCATATTCTGTGAGGCCCATTTTGTGGGCTATCCTGTTCCACTGGTTTATTTGGTATTGATGTATTTATTACTGCTCTGTCTTAATTATCATATCTTTAAAAATAAGTCCCAATATTTTTTAAGGCAAGTTAGTGTTCCTGCTTTCTCAGAAGTAGTTTAGTTATTTTTAGCTTTTGATATTCCATATATGTTTTACAATCACCTTGACCTAATTGACAAATATTTTTTGTTCTTGATTTTGAAGAGATCTCTCTTAAGAATTTCCCATTTT